TCCGGGCCCACCTGCCAGCCAGTGTACAGCGGCGGCGGCCCACTTGGGGTTAACTGGTCCTTCGGATGCTTCGTCGGAGGTCCCCGGCCCCACACCCAACCAAAACGGACCACCCGCTCTCCCCTCACTTCTTTACCGTGGTCCCCCATTCTGCTATGATCTGTTTTGTGACTGTGTCTACGTCTGCGATGATCTCTGTGTTTCCTACAGGTTGCTAAAAGAAGTTGTTTTTGATAAGGTTTGGGTCAAACATTTTAAGAATATAAATCATAAATAACTTTTAAGTTGTTGAGTTGGAAAACGTGAAAATCATATGAATATATAGATTTCTCTTGAAATGTACTTTCATAAAAGTATACATATATCACTTTTGAATAAATAGTTTAATAAAAATAAAAAGCTAAGGTTATGCTTTTGGAGACTGTGTCGCTGTCCAAAAGGACTTATTTTACCAACCTAGAGGGACCGAGGGAGTAGGAAAAAAATTAAGTTTCTCGTTGAATTGCCGATATGTACCCCTCTCTTCACCGCACTTTTGGATTGTGCTATATCATTCAGTGAATGCAAATAATTTTGTATGTCACGGAAAGGAGCGGGGAAAGATACTATGCTAGCTATTTGATCATTGTAATCCGCTCGAGTGCATGAAAACAGAGGATCTATTTTGTATCCATGCAAATGATATGGCATTTTTACGGGCACTTTGTACACAAAAATTCATGAATTGTTTTTTTTTCTAAAAATAAATAAATTGGTGCTATTTTCCTTCAAAAAAATCTTACGTTGTACTTAGTATACTCCAATAATTTAGCAAAGATGTTAACTCCCATAATTCGGACAAACAAAACAACAAGATGTTCTTGCTCAGCAATCAAAGATAATGTAGTGCAAACTTTACAACTCTGGAAACAAAAAAAAAAAAAAGGAACCAAGGAGTTTGGCTATCGAAACATGGACACAAATTTGGGAACAACCTGTTGCAAGAACAAGAGGGCAATTCTAAGATACTCAGGATGTTGTTCAGTTCGGTCAAATTTTCTCTAGTTCTGAAAGTTTTTTTTTTCTCTTGTTCTTTGTAGCTTTTTCTTCTGTTTTTCTGTAGCTTCTTTTCTCTTGTATTTCCTTGTTTCTTCTCTAAGCCTCTTGGCTTTGGACCTGCATTTGTACATATTGTAATTTTAATACAAATTAGGTAGGGGTCTCCGCTCTGGACTTCCTCAAAAAAAAAAAATGTACCGGTGCCTGAGCTTGACCATCTCTCCACTGCATCTAGCCTGTTCGCTCTCTCACCCCCCTACTGCTGACATATTGTAATTTTAATACAAATTAGTAGTGTTCTTGTGCTACAGTTGAGCAAGTTTTTGCTTAGCATACCTTGAACATCTACAAATTTAGGATCTAATTGTGATCTGCAGTATTGTTTTTCTTAGGAAACAAAATAAAATTATATATTGCCAATATTTTCCCTCTTCAATGCACTTAACCACATTTTTTATTGTACGTGCAGTATCATTCGTTGAATGCAAACGATTTGATAATAAGAGACAGGAGCGGAAAAAGATATTGTGCTATTTAATCATCAAACCAACCCACTTATATTCCTTCAAGACATGAAAAGCGAGATGCGAGAAATATGGGAAATAATATGATATTTTTGCATGGCAGTTTCAACCTAAATATCTGCAAAATTCCTATGTAAAAAACAAATACATTAACTATATATTTTGCAGGATTTTAATCTCTAAATCATCCAAACAATCATTTTTTGTGGAATCTAGTGCCACATAACTGTAATGATTTTCGAAGATGTTAACTCTCCCAATGCAGACAACAAAACAACCAGATGTCATGACGCCTGACCACCATCTCCCCCATAGCCCACAGTGGCAGTGACTACACCGCTATGCCATTCTAGTGCTCTCCCTTCCCATTGCCTCTCGCCTCTTCGCTCTCTCACACCCAACACCGACCATGCTACCACCCATCATCGCATCTATCCCTTTATAGGTGTCGATCTCCTTCCTACAACTCTAATTCACATCGATCATTTCTACGCGTTCGTGCTCATAGTGTACACTAGGGTTCATGTACAAAGGCAATTATGAGTTTAATTGTGACTTGCAACATTGTTGTTTTCTATAAAAAATTCTAACACGTGGTCATTCCCCCTTGCCACGATACATTTGATCGTGGACTATCTGTCGCATACCACAAGAAGGGGTACCCTAAACAAGAACCGAAAATATTGCTTAAGCCTTGCAAAAATCAAAGCCAAAGGACAATCACGAGGTCTCGGCAGATTCTCCGATTCGCCCGAGGCTTGCGTCGAGGCCTCAGACGAAAGGCCAAAACTCTCCGCCCCGTCGAGGCCCTCTCGCCGAGGCCCCGCCCCGCAAGGCCTCGGACGGGATACCAATTCTCCGATTCGTCCGAGGCTGGGCTCGGCAAAAACCTCGCCACCTCCGTCCCGACCGACTCCCTTGACAAAACGTCACGTCCAGTTAATGCGCCCAACTACTCCCGCAACATCAGCCGCACGTTGGCGCAGTACAGGCAGAGTGACCGACGGGACAGGGGACCGGGCGCAGCAGGGGTTACCTGCCACTGTGCTCATCACTGTGCCCCCTGCTGACACCCGTACTGCCCTGTGCTACCTAACTCCTGCGATAAGGACAAAGCGGCGTGGAGGGTCAAGTCCGGGTCCCTGTAGTCTCGGAATCAGCATGAAAGACCAACTGCTCGTCCTCCGCCTCGTCCGAGACCCCCCGGCAGGGCCTCGGACGTACTATTCCTTCTCCGCCTCGGCCGAGGCCGGGCTCGTCCCGCATCCTCGTCGCCTCCGCCTCAACCGTCCCTCTGGCGAGCCGTCCCATCCATTTAAGTGTGCCTGGTCACACCTACTACATCAGCCACGACTGGCAGGGTACAGCAACAGGGGCGATGGGACAGCGGTCAAATCTCCTTTTTACCATCCCTACTAACGGTGCAGGGGTTAACATGCCCTGCGGACACACGCCCTGCACTTTTCCACCTAAACCGGGTACGACGCTGACCACCGAGGCCCCCGCATCATACTCAGGTCACCTCCCGGGCCTCGGCAAATCAGGCCTCGGCGCGGTCAGCCACAAACACCCGCCAGGCCTCGGCACTCCACCAAGTCAAAAATTCACAAGGCACGGCATGTCACCTACAGTGGAGGCCATGCTGACTAAACGTCAACGAGGACTCCTACGACTTCAACAGCCTCGGGCATGGCCGGCGTGACGCACCAGTGATCAAGTACCAATTGCCATTCCCGACACTGTGCTGCTACAAGAATAGGCCACAGTACTAGATCTTCCTTCCTCACTAAGGCTCCACGTGTAGCTCTCTCATGTACTCCTGGCTCCCTCCTTGCGGCTATAAAAGGAAGCAGCCAGGGCCGTTTCTAGGGAGCGAGACCACGCTGGCACTCACGGGTATACGCGCTCACAGTGACATCGAGGGAGAAGACAGACGAGCATTCGCATAGACTCACGTACACTCTCCCGCTGCCTGAGAGCAACGATTCAAGCAGCCCGCACCGCTCCACGCCGAGACCTGGGACTAGCTCCCTCTCTTACCCAGCTTGTAACCCCCTACTACAAGCACTTCGGTGCAAGAAATACAAGATCGATCCCTCAGACTGGACGTAGGGCACCAATTGCCTGAACCAGTATAAACATTGTGTCTCTTTGCATCACCATCCGGGATTAGGAGCACGCAGTTCACATTTACTAGTTGGTTGAGGACCCCTGGTCCGAAACACCGACACTATCATTCACTGAGAGATTATGCACTGATTATAAAGAAAAAAAAGTAGGGGAAAAGGGACAATATGCTATTTGCACATCGAATCGTCCAACTTGTATTTCTTCAAAACATATGTAAGAGTTGAGGCCCTATTTTGCAGCCATTGATATGAATAGAGTATGCCATTGTTTGCATGGCGCTTTATTAGAGAGGAAAAAACCGCATCCATTGAAAATGTTATAAAACAAATACATATGGAAAGTATTTCCACGGAAACTTTACTCAGCACCAAAGTTGTTGCTGCATGTTTTCCGCTAGGATGCACCAAGCAATCATTTTGGCTGGATTCCTTGATGCCCATACATCCTATAATTTGGCAAGATTTAACTCTTCTTGATTCAAAAGGAGTAAACCTCAAAAATAAAAACCTTGCAATTCAATGTACTCCCTTTTTATCTGTCGTTTTTCCTTCTTGCGAAGTCAAACATAGTTAACTTTAACCAAATATACATATACGAGAAAATATTAGTATTTATCTGCCACGAGTAATTGGATCCCGCCCTCATTTTAGAGTACCATCTAGTCGTACGTTGTGGGAGTATACCATCTAGTTGTTGGTACGAGCCCGAACGGTTATCGTGTTGACAATAGCTAGCGTTACTGACAACAGTGTGACTGATCACACACATTCCATCCCGTTTTATATTACAGAGAACGAAAAAAAAAACAATAGAGAAAATGGAGGAGGCGCTGCATTATTTATGACGCCCGCAACGCCAGTTTGGTGGAAGCCCAGTACAGTCTGACTTTGCTGGACGTAATGCACGTACACACACACACACACCATAGCCGATCCCATCTTTTCGTTACCAGCAGGAGGCCATCTTCCTAATCCTATCCTAACCCCCGCAATTAGTTGGCGCGACTGCAGATTTTGGAAGGCAGAGGAGCCGTGTAAACAAACCACCATGTGGTTCCTCGTATTTGCGTTTAGGTCCTTGCGCTCGTAGTCGTGGGGACCTGTTTGCGAATCCGGCAATCTGGAGGGGCAATGCGGGTACGGCTGGTCGGGGGCTCGAGGCCGGAGCGGCGGCACTAGTATAAATCGGCGCGGCGCTCAAAGCCCTTCCTCCTCGCCTCTGTCCGCCTCGCTTCCCGTACCTCTCTTCCTTTCTATCTCTGCGCACGCACGCAGTCTGAGAGGGTGTGCGGTGCTCGAGGGGCGGTACATGGCAGAGGCGGGCTCTTCCGCGGCGAGGACCAGGAGGGCGGGGCTCGCCGCCGCAGCGGCGGCGGCGCTCCTCGTCCTCGTCGTGGTCGCCGGCAGCGCGGGGTTCCCTGGCGGGCGGGTGAGGGTCCTCGACGGCCACCGGTGAGTTTGCATCCCCCTCCTCCTCTCCGTCTAATGTGGTTGCGCCCGAGGGCTCTGCGTGGGGTTTTCGGTTGCCTCTGTTCCAGAATTCGCCTCTGTTTTCGTTAAACTTCCCTTGGGAATTTTGCTTGCTATGGTTGGGGCCGCGTTGCTTTGCTACCGAGTCACTCGATTTCCGCCTCGCGGCGGCAGTCTCCTTTTTCGAATTGGTTTTCATCTGCTCCGGCGCCCGCACGACGTGGTGCTGCGCGGCGTCGTGTGCCAACCACCTGCGCCTCTACTAAGTATTACTAACCGGCTCACCGCAAGCCTCTGTGCGTCGCAGGCACCGGAGCACCACCGCGGCGGCCGTGGTGGCGGGCGGCGCGAGGCGGTGGCTGCGGGACTCCTCCTGGCCGGCGGCGGCGACGACGAGGTGAGCGCGCTCCACCAATTCCTTCCATCCTCTGCATTTTTCCTTTGCGCCTCCTCCGCCTGGGGTTTGCCAGGTGGGACGAATCCGGTGCGTCGGTCCACGCGGACTCGCGATCTGGGCCGTCCAATTCTCTCCTTTTCATTTATGTATACGTTCGGTCCCCATCTAGATCCCGGAGGCAGCTGCTGCTGCGTCATTGCTCCGTTCCGCGAATAATCTCCTTTTGGGTTCCTTCATTCAAAAAATTTCGATCCCAAATTTTGGTTTTGGGTTTTGAGGGGGACGTTGGTGCGCGGTAACCAGCGGAATTCGTAATTTGGGGCTGGGAACTTTTGGTTTCAAATTTTGGATTAGAGCCGTGTGCAAAGCAGTAACAGCAGAGAGATGCTCTCTCTATGCTTTCCGTTGCCAAGTTCGTTACGGTGGCAGGTAGAGAGAGAGAGAGGGGGGCAGTATCGTAGTTTGCTGCAACCAAACGTCCAAACCCCGACGTGCCGCTGCAGTCCTGCACAGGCCACGGTAAAGTGGGGTAAAGATTTGGGAGGACGGACGGCGGGCGGACAAGAAGCCGCGGAAAAAGCTGGCCGAGGAAGCAAGCGAGATCGCGGCGTGTCCCTTGGCGTCCCCGGCAAATGCACCCACACCCGGCAGGAGCAGAGGAGGCACTCATTTGGTTTTGCACTTTTGGCTACACAAAAAAGAAAAGAAAAGGCTGCAAAGGAAAATTCGCTTGGATAAGCTGCAGCCTTGTTGCCCTCTTGGGTACGGTCTCGCGTGCGCAAAGCGATGTTCTGTGTGTGCTGCGCTGGTTGTTTACTCCCGTTTGCCTTTTGGGTCGCGACCGACCAGAGCACGCATGGAGCGGCACGGCCACGGCCACGGCGTGCATATGCATCCACTCCGCTGCTCGCCGCACACGAACCATGATGATGAAAAACGGCGCACGGATTCATTCACCTCGCGCCCTCGCTTGCTTTTCCGCTTCTTCACCCACTCCTGTTATTCCTACTGCCTAAAATTTGCAACTCCATCATCATCACTGCGATGAATTGCTAGTGCTGGAGGAGTAGAGTACCATTATTTAACTCCATGTATAACATGAAACTTTTCTCTTTCTTTCTTTCTTTGGTGACAGCAATGCCGTACGAAATTGGTATTTTTTTATTGAAATCAGCTATAACATCATCTGCATGTGCTGTGTTTCTTGGTTGCGGCGGTGTCCAACGTCACTCACGGACTCACCTGGAATTGTGCAGGGGCAGGGCCGACGGTGACGCCGACGGGTCAGCCAGGGCCGTCGTCGCCGGCGCCGGCGCGGTGGAGGATCCGGAAGCCGTGGCCAACGACGTGCACGTGTAAGTCGCTCTCTCCTGACTTCCCCTTCAGCTCCGCCTCAAATCAATAAATCACGCCAACTGACTGAAAGCCCTGTTGCTGATGTAAATAGTAGATCTAAGCATGATTTGCGAATTGTTTTACCACCAGCACTGCAATGGAAGTTCTTTGCTTTTCGGCCAGACCTAGCTCCGTTTAGATTCAAAAAATTTTGCAGATCTGACCTAGTGTGTACAAAAAAAAACAGACGTGAGACGAAACTTTTGAACCTAATTAGTAATTAAACACTAATTGCTAAATTTCTGTAAATTTTTTTATCTGAACGGGGCTCTAGTAGTGTGTACAACAGACTAGGGGTAGCTTTTCTGTCCACACCCGGCAAGCCGGACCCACCTGCAGTCTCACACAGTAGAATAGAAAAGGAAAAAGAGAAAAAAAAAGAGGAGATACGAACAAGAATACTGTTCTCTGACCGGAGCAGATCTGGTTCAGCTACCAGCAGCGGCGTACTTTTACTCTGCCACGTGGGAGCATGAACGCGCGCGGGGCCCGCCTGCCATGCACCTCCCACACGCACTGTCTCTCAGTCACAGGCCCGAACCTGCGCGCTTTTATGGCGTCGCGACCCTGCCGCACCGCACCGCCGTGCATGGGCAGCTGCCGGGGCCGGCCGATCGCCATTAACTCCGTTGCCTTTTACGACGTGTCCACGGCGACTGGGGACACCTCCCTCCCTTTCCGTGCTCACCGCATCACCAGCACGGCGGTGCAGCTGCTGCCACCGCACACAAACGCGCGAGCTGTGAGGCTCTAGAGCCACTGCTGTGGGTGGTAGCACACTGGCATGCAGCAGTGACACACCACGTTCTCCCCACGCCCCGAGTGGGGCAGCCCTGCCCTGGTCGCCCCTGCATTTGCGACGCGCATTCATGGTGTTTCCGGTCCATCTCTTTTTCCCACCAGCCACCTATTTCTATGCAAAGATCTTCTGGTAGAGCTGGTAACGGCAACTGATTCACAGTTGAGTATGCACTGTAGTGGAGCTCGAAACCTGTAGCGCCCGATCTAGAATACAATGCTGCACCGACAGAAAAAAAGAAGTGTTCTTGTTTGAGTTTGGGGCCAAGGCATTATTATTGACCGACATGTTAGATGCAACGAATGGGCATGGACAGTGAATTGGTCCCCAGAGAAATAGTGTATACAGTGTAAATCTCCTGCAAGTTTCCTGGCTGCATTGATCTTCTAATTACTGTAACTGAATTCCGCAATGAATATCGCTACATCTAGAATTGCTGTGGCCCATGCATGAGATGCAAGAGTCAGTAGGAAATGTTCTTTCTGCCATCTAATTATTACTGCATTGGGCATCAAATTTCTGAGTACCTGAATTACTGAATGCTACTTCTATCTGTCATTGCTCCTTTTTGTGTGTAGTTAGTGTTAGTAGTAGTTTCTATAAACTGAGTGGTTGACATGCTGCTTGGATTCGAAATAATTGGATGAATGGCTGTTCTTCAGGTCCATCAGGAACAGCACGGCCCGGCGAAATCTCGGGTACCTGTCGTGCGGGACAGGCAACCCCATCGATGACTGCTGGCGCTGCGACTCGGACTGGCACAACAACCGCCAGCGCCTAGCTGACTGTGGCATCGGCTTCGGCCGCAATGCCATCGGTGGCCGGGACGGCAAGATCTACGTGGTCACCGACCCGACCGATGACGACCCTGTCAACCCTCGCGAGGGCACCCTCCGCTACGCCGTCATCCAGGAAGAGCCGCTCTGGATCATCTTCAAGCGGGACATGGTCATCACGCTCAAGGAGGAGCTCATCATGAACAGCTTCAAGACCATCGACGGACGTGGCGCCAACGTGCACATCGCCAATGGTGCCTGCATCACCATCCAGTACATCACCAACGTCATCATCCACGGGCTCCACATCCACGACTGCAAGCCCACGGGGAACGCCATGGTGCGCAGCTCGCCCAGCCACTATGGGTGGCGCACCATGGCCGACGGAGATGCTGTGTCCATCTTCGGCTCCAGCCACGTCTGGGTGGACCACTGCTCACTCTCCAACTGCGCCGACGGCCTGATCGATGCCATCATGGGATCCACGGCCATCACTGTGTCCAACAACTACTTCACCCACCACAACGAGGTAGTACATCCTCCTACTAGATCCAGTGCTTTTGTTTGTCCTCACCCTGTAATAATTAAGTGCCCCTGTGCGATCGTCCTTTTGTTTTCTTCACCAAAGACATCGGAAACTTGGAGGATTCTACATGGTTTGGCACATAGAATTCGTTTGTTTTCTGCCAGTACAAGTGTAGTTTAGTCCTGGTTTAGTTCTAAAAAATTTTCACCACAAACTATCACATCAAATCTTACGGCATACACATAGAGTATTAAATATAGACGAAAAAAACTAATTGCACAGTTTAGTTGGAAACCGCAAGACGAATGTTTTAAGACTAATTAGCCATGATTAGCCATAAGTGCTACAGTAACTAACATGCGCTAATGATGGATTAATTATGCTTAATAAATTCGTCTCGCAGTTTTCAGCCGAGCTATGTAATTAGTTTTTTTATTAGTATCCGAAAACCTCTTCCGACATCCCAAAACATCTAATGTGACATCAAAAATTTTCATTTCGCGAACTAAACACACCTAGAATTAATTCCTTCATGCGAATTATTCTCTCAAATCCAATCAGAACTTGTCGGTTGCTTATGCTGAGGATGGTGCTGTAGTATCTGACGGTCACATGCATAACGAGATTTTCTCGGTGTTCTCTGGAAACAGCCTGGTTGGATTTCTCATCTAATGGTGAAACTGAAATTGATGCAGGTGATGCTTCTGGGCCACAGTGACTCCTATGTGAAGGACAAGGCAATGCAGGTGACAATAGCCTTCAACCATTTCGGTGAAGGTCTCATTCAGAGAATGCCAAGGTGAATATATGAAATGAACACCAGCATACTGAACCTTGTCTGTTTGTTCCTCTCCAGCAGCATCACTATGCACTGATCTGTATTCATTTCTTGTTACACATTTTATTTTGCTACCCCTTTGCCACAATCTCAATGGTTCTTGTTTCAGGTGCCGGCATGGCTACTTCCATGTTGTGAACAATGACTACACCCACTGGGAAATGTACGCCATTGGCGGGAGCGCTGAGCCAACCATCAACAGCCAGGGCAACCGCTACCTTGCTCCGACAAACCCATTCGCCAAGGAGGTACTGTAGATATGATGTCTTTGTTAATTCTTTGCATTGAGCAGTCAATTTTTAGTAGCTAAAAAATAACTTCCAATGTAACTGAACTGCAGGTGACCAAGAGGGTCGAAACTGCTCAGACTGTCTGGAAGGGCTGGAACTGGAGATCAGAGGGCGACCTGCTGCTGAACGGCGCCTACTTCACCCCATCCGGCGCAGGCGCCTCAGCCAGCTACTCGCGCGCGTCCAGCCTTGGCGCCAAGTCATCATCTATGGTTGGCACCATCACCTCGGATGCCGGTGCTCTGTCGTGCCACAAGGGCGCGGCCTGCTAGCGCACCCGCAGAAGGAAACAGACCCACCACCCCCACGCCACCCCTCCAACAACAGAAAAGAAACAAGACAACAGAAAACTAAGCTACCTCCACACCACATGGTTACAGTTTTTCCGCTTCTCTCTTTTTTGGTCGCTTTTTGACAAGGGTTATATATGATGGGTCCTTCCTGATTCACCATTTGCTCAACCTCCCCCTGCTCCTGACATGGAAAGCTACCCGGAGCAGGCGTGAAGCGTTGCTGATTGGTTTCGCTCGGTCTCTCTATTAGTCATCTGATCTGAGTGTGGTATGTTGTTGCCTGCCCCCCGCCCACAGCAAGTGTATGTTGAGGTCAGGGGTGCATACTGTGTGTGAGCGAGTGCGTGCGTGCGTGTGTGATACTCACTTGGTTGTGGAGAACATGTCAGATTGTTAGTAGTGGTAGTAGTACAATGTTATGCCTGGACTGGGATGGATTTTCCCTGTAGAAGACATGGAAGAATAGCCATGTTCTTATTCTTCTTCAGTGAGTGAAAAGCGAAAACATTACAGGCTAGCTGCATATTTTGATCTGGAAGTACAGCAATGCGCTGCTTTTGAAATGTTTGCCTGCCAGTTTGCTGTTTGTCCTTGAGTCATGTGTTCAGTGTCGATAAGGACTTGTTCGGTTAATCTCTAGTCCAAGGGGATCGAGGGGACCTTGGCCATGTTCACTTGGCTTATGAGCCTGTACTGTTTCAACGAAAAAACAATGTTTTTCTCTCGCAACAAATCAGCGAACAGTACTTTCATCATGGCTTTTCATCGAAGCGAACAGGACCTTTGACTTATAGTGCGGGATCCTCGATCCCTTTCAATCCCCACCAAACCGAACAAGTGTTCCATCTGAATCTGATGTGCTGAGATGAGATTTTGGCTGAAAGGACACTATCACCTGCACATTGATCATGCACTGAGGGCTGGATGTTTGCTGACCGGGCCTCTGTGCCAGTTGAACATTGTGAGATCCTACGTCACAAACTTGCACCTGCACCTGCCTGTTCCAAATCAAGAATTTTTCTGTGAGCACGAATGCAGGGAGGAGATCCTCTGTCTGAGAATATGAATGGGCAGTACTCTATCCTTGGATGCTTTAGTACTTGTGTACTGTAGGAGGGATCGGGGATGGATCTTGTCATGTCCATTGATCATTGAATGCTGCACGTCGGGCGCCTCCCGATGAAGATGCAGATGTCGAGCGGCAGCTGCAGCCTGCAGCAGGAGGGCTGTCCACGCCAAGTGTTAACAGGGGCGGAAAGCATCTTGTTCATTGCTCGGCATTCACAGTTGCCAAGGTCCTTCCAGATCAGGGACTCGGACACCCTCCGGCATGGCAGTAATGCTGGCGTGGGGTTTGGTGGTGTGGGCGTGTGGCCACGAATATGAAAGCGAACTTGTGCCTGCTTGTTGCGTGTGCCAATGGCTCCGGCTCCGTCTGGCCGAGTTCCGTACCAGTTCAATTGTACTCCTACTTACAGTACCAACCTTGAAAATGTCTTCTTTTTCCGGCTTTTGTTTGTTCTCTCTTGGTGTCACCCGAATCCCGCACTTGTCTGCCGCTTCACTAGGATGGGTGTGTTTTTCCCCTTGTGCCACTTCCATCGTGTCCTATCCTATCAACGCCATGCTCAGCTCGTGGGCACTGGGCTCTCTATTGGTTGGGCCTGTGGAACCGTGCAGATCCCGTGAATAACAGGAAGTTGATCTGCGCCCGATAGAGATTAACCATGCCCACAGAGCCCATATGTGTTTCGGCGTCTCTACGCAGGCCGGCCCAATATTATGGTATACATTTTGGTTTTGTTTTGTTCAGGCCCACTATAATGCAGGATCACCTATTCCAGAGATTCAGGTCCGTCATCGTCTAGGAAACGCAAACAGAAATTTGGTCGCTCTTTAGGTCCTTTTGCTCGGCACGGAGGCGCGCGCCGACTATGTGCGTGCTGATAATTAATAGATTGGAAATTGTCATATTGGGTCGTGTGCTTTCTCTCCGGTTCTTTTATTTTTTTGACAATGATGTCTCCAGTTCTTTGGCTGTTTTCTGCCTCCTACATAACCATGCGAGAACCAAGATTACTTGCATCATTGTCTAATGCAGAATGGTTTTGAAATTTTTAAAAAGTTATACTTCAAAACAAGACCACATATTTAGATAAAATTTTATTAACAAATATTTATCTTATAAAAATAGAACGTTTTCTTTTATTGAGTATATGCGATGTTCTAGGTCCAAAATAAAATGTTCCGTCTTCGTAAGGCAAACTTCTAAGTTTAGGAGAATAATATTTCAAACTTAGGATAAAAAATCTAGATTCATAATGGTATTATAATATCCATAAAATAGAAAATAATAAATAATAAAAACTATGAAATATATAGAGATAGATAAATAAAAATACAATATACCATAGATAGAAGAAATCAATAAACTAAAGATAGAACAAAGCATAAGGAAAAACATAAATAGTAAATATAAAAGGGCACGTAATAGATAAAAATTTCTAAGAACATCATATGCACAGTAATTGAACAACCTAAAATATATTATACATAAGGATAAAAACGGTCGGGATATATCCCATACCATCCCGCATCGTTTTCTATATTGACCCGCTCGAATTCGTATTTTTGGACAAATTCGAAATCAGTACGAATACGGTATACCAAATTCAAAAACAGAACGGAAACAATTTAGGTATTATCCTGACTGTTTTCTACTTTTCCGCTTTTTATTCGGAATATCCCATTTTGAAATACGGTGTGTATACCCTTTTCTACTTTGCCTTATAAAAATTGTATCTTTTTCATACGATCTCGGATAAAGATGATTTTTATATGAAAATTGTAGCTCTCAACAGGGTCTACGATTTTCTAGTTTTGAGTCTTTTCATTTAAGATCGTTAAGATGCTCAAGAAATTAAACAAAATTTCAGTAGTATATTAATCGCATACAAGGACTTGTCATATTAGAAAAATCATATCTTTCTTATATAGTGTCAAATGGAGATACTTTTTATATGAAAATTGTATCACTTGTTAATTGTTATGTATTTGTTCACGCGCTTGTTAATTGTTATGCACTTGGTCCTACGGGTCGGTATTCCATATTGATTTTTCATATATCGACCGTGTTCGACATAATTTCGCTCGAATTAGTTTGTTTTCGAAATTCTTGATATTCCGTAAGTTCGGCTTCATTTTCGTGTCCAGCTTTACCGCTTTTACTTTTGTTTTCGTATTCAAATGTAGAAGTAGAAAACAGTTGAGGGGTTTTTCCACCGTTTCCACCGTTTCCATGCTCAGGTCACACCCTCCCGGCAAGACTTATCCCAAGAACTCGTCGTAGAATCCTGTCCGGTCGACTCAACCCTCACCACACACCCAAGACGCATGCTAAGATCTCCCCAAGTTATTACCACATTATCGGCACCGAGTGCCATAGCCACTCACAAACAATCCTCCACCAAGCATCACATCACAGATATAATACGTAGTAGAAGTAAGCAGTAAGTAGTAAACGAGCGTCTAGCCTATCAGCGGGTGTGCAGGGGTAAAGGTTGCATCAAGGTAATAGCTTCAAGCAATTCTACCATGTAACCTATCATAGTTCATTTGCATGAAAATAAAGCACTATCAACTATATTATTGCATGTCTAATATGATTCTACGAGGTTGGGTGGGACATGGCACCTGTTGACTGATCGACTCTGAGATCCTCAGTGTACTTGTAGTCGTTCTCCTCAAGGTTCCATTGCCATCCGCGTGTCTTTCCTCCGACGGATTTCGGTCCGATCAACGTTATCCTCGATGCAACTACTGCAATAGAGCGACAAACAAGGCAAAAGAGCAATCAATCCCTAAACCAAGAAAGACTATGAATAAAGAGGCAACAACACCAAAAGAACACTAAAGGAAAAAGGACTTAGCGCTCGCGGAGGATGTCCGATCCTTGGGCTTGAAAGAAAGCAGAAGTGGTGTTTGCTAAGCACAAGCTCGAGTCACAGCCTAGCCAATACCTCCCGGGCCGATCGTGTCGACCTGTATGACTTCAAGAATAATGGCCTAGACCCTAGCCCAACTTAAGCAAACACCATGGCAAACAAGGCTAGCCCTCATGAAGCGAGTCCGTTTTCCTCGGGCTTAAAAAGAGAAAGTCGGCTAGGCACGCCCATGTCACATCCTCGGTAGAGACAGCACTCTAATGGTTGATTGAGTCGACTCGCAACGTTCCGAGAACATAACATAGACGCTAATCTCACTAATTAGAAGTGATAGTCCGGTCTTTGATCCGATCGTCATGGCTAAAGACGGGATCGAACAGAGCGGGCTAAAGGGAAAAAGGGAGAAGTTTTGGTCTCTCTCTCAATCCTTACACCATTGTAATTGACGAGAATCGAAGAGAGGGTGGAACAAAAAGAGAAAAGAGAGGAGCAGTGGTCTACTTCTTCCAATCCACAAGACATGGCAAAAGACGGAGCATCGGAAGGAAGCGACACACAAGAGGACACGAACACCCAGCTCCACTCGTAGGGTACCTCAACCTACGTGCACTAAATGGCACCAAGACACCCCTAGGGTCTTAGCAGTGCGATTGTCACTGTAAGAACCTAGAGAGTGCTAAGGTCTAAAATAGGTACAAGCATACAAGGGGCCCGAGCACGAAAGACTCAAAAGAGGGGAAAGAAGAGATTCACCTCCCTTGGATCCACTCGTCATAGCTGTCGACGGGAATCGAAGGAATGAAATCAAGCGAGCAATAAACGAACACCAATAGGGCGCAAATGAGCAAAAAGGGATTTTGGTTCCATGGTACTTCAATCCACATGTCATGGTAATCGATGGGAATCGAAGGCGTTGGAACAAGAGACCTCAATCCACATCTTATTAGATCGACGAGGATTGAAAGAAAGAACAAGAAAGGATAGAAGAATGGTCCTGCATTCCTTCAACCTGCTCGACATGGTAAGGGACAGACG